GGAAGGAAGGAAGGAAGGAAGGAAGAAAACACCTGGAGTCCTTCCCCATGTGGATAGAGCATCACTAACATCTCAAATGGAACCAATAGGAAACAGCTAACCGGAAATCCACCCCACTCCTCAATGTTTATAAAGTCCCTGTCCACATGCAATAAAGTGCACATGTTATTTCACTGAGGATCTTCTGAGAGTGACCATCTTTACTGAGCCATAACACTTGGGGAAGAGTTCTTTCTCCCAAAGCATTCATCACTGGACCTTGGACTCACCACCTCTGCCACTATCACCGCTGCCTCTGCTTCTGGCACTGGAGCTGTTATGATAGCTGTTGCTGTCAAGAGACCTCATCTGGGACCTCGGCTACCTGCCCTGCACAAGCCTCCCAAACCTTCTTGCTTCTCTTCTAAAAGCTGTAACACTCTTGACATTCACAGTTGGACCAGAGCCCAGTGGAACGTATTCATCTTGGCTCCACTTTGCCTGGATGGTAACAACAATGTTCTCTATCCTTACCAGCCATCTCTCTGTCCATGTCCAGACATCATTTGCCTTGTGCACTGTGGATCTGGTTTCATTCCCAACTGTGGGTCCCTCAGGATAATGGTGTAATGCAGGGAGGTCCTGCTCTGCCGTCACCTCTTAGCCACCAAGGCCAGGGCTTCCTAGGGAGGTCTCAGTGTGTATGAACAGTGGAGCAGAACATGGTGGAGGTCCCCGACGCTCCCTGGAATTTAAAGTCTCATATAGAAGCAAACATAGCTGTGTCCTCCAGATTAAGACATATCCTAAAGAGAAAGGAGGATCACATGACTCTGGAAGCTCTCGAAATGTAACAAGGCCTGTGAGTCCCCTCTCTGGGGTTCTACAAGCAGTACATGGTTGTTGCGGGTGGTAAGGACTCTGATGGAGCTAACTGCCTGTTGTTCAGGGACTTCCAATGATAAGGTTTTATAAATCTTTCTTGGTGCTGACATGGTCACCTATAAGAAACCCCAATCAACTCCCTGAGTTAACCTGATGGTACTTGAGGTGGTTTGAATGAGACTGGCCCCCACAGGCTCACAGATTTGAATGCTTGGTCCCCAGGGAATGGCACTATTTGAAAGGATTAGGAGGTATGTGCTTGTTGGAGGAAGTATGTTACTGGAGAAGGGCTTCAAAAGCCCATGCAATGGAAGTCTTTGTCTCTGTCTGAGGACTAGGATGTAGCTCCCAGGTATTGCTCCAGTGCCATGCATACTGCCATGCTCTCTGCATGCCACCATGCTCCTTGACATGAGGATAATGGACTAAGTCTCTGAAACTGTAAGCAAGCCCCCTCTTAAAGTGTTTTCTTTTATAAGAGTTGCCTTGACTAAGCCAGTGGTGTTACATGGATTTTCCTCTTTTTTTCTTTTTCTTATCTTTTATTCTTTTTCATTTTCTTTCTTTCTTTCCTGTTTTTGTATGTCGTTGATGTCCTGATGTTTGTGAAGAAACATATCTCCCCTGGAAAAGTCAGTTGCAAAACACTTGGCACTACTAGAGACTAACCCCAGGTGACTCTGAGAAGCTCAGTTGCATCACCCTACAGTGAGTGATAAGACAACCCAGGGCACTCAGCAAGATGTTCTCTGGCCTGTACATGCCCACCTCCACACACAGGTGAAAGGACTGAGGTAATGCCATCCTGTCCTCACTTTGTTTTATGTCTGCTTGCTCACTTCTAAGCTTTCCACCCTCCAACAGCCACCTCTGTCTTGGCAATGCTTCAAGGACTGTCTGTGACCTTAACCATAGTCCAAATGTGTTCATTAGTGTCTGAAAGATACGGCAGAGCCTTGAAAAGGAACCAGATGCTACTCAGCTGTTCTAACTCCCTCATTATGTACCTCCCCCTCCGGAGTCCTGATGTAACTGTGGTTTTGTCTCACTCTAAGCCAGAGATTGGGCAGCAAGAGACTTTTCAGAGGCATGAACCCACTTTTGGTCTGGTTGTCAATTAAAAAAAATGAATGAAATACTTGTAATTTGCTCAATCAGCTTGGTTGTCAATAACTATCTCATGTGGACTATTTCACAGGCACCACACACACAAAGTAAATAAATTTGATACCTTTTGTAAATGACCAATCAACCAAAAATGTTTAGTCAACTTCAGGCAGGTATGTTGTACTGTACAAGCTGTCCGAAGCAGCCCAGTCATTTTCCTCAACTCCTAACCAAACAAATTAATATGGAAAGCTGGTTGGCTTTGAAGGAAAGAGTTCAGGTATGTATGCCCCAAAGCAAGAAATAATCGATAAAGACTGTGCCAAAGCCAAACACTGCAGTGAGCAACTCTGCCAGGCCACCTGCCAGGGACTGTTGGTTCAAGGTGGGAGTGGCCATGTTCTGATTGCTGAACTTGAACTTCTTGGGTTTTACTATCTGTGGTCAAGGACATCAGTTTCACTAACTCTATGTAGCCCTCCCCAGGATCTTTAAAACCTTCCTTGGGGTTGGAGAGATGGCTGAGTGGTTAAGAGCATGTGCTGCTCTTGCTGAAGACCTGGGTTCAGTTCCCAGCACCCACATGGTGGCTAATAACCATATTTAACTCTAGGTACAGAGGATCTGAAATCTTCTAACCTCCATGGTACCAGGGATCCATGGAGTACATACATAGATATAGACAAACACCCATGTGCAAACTATGTCATGTAACAGTTTCCTCTGAAATCAAAATGTTCCATTCTGCAGGGAAGCTCCTTAAGCAGGAAATTGAACAACTCACATTAGCTTCAGGAAGTCTATGAAACTGACCAGATTCGGTAGGCCCCTCCCCACCTACAATAAGCAATAAAGCTTCAAAGATGATGCATAGACAAGCCAAGCTTCAAAGCAAGCAAGCAAACAAACAAACAAAAAACAAGACCAGACAAACTGCTTAGAAAAAGCACAAACGAGCCAAGCTGCCAGGAAGAGGTTTAGACAAGAGTTGCTTGCAAAGGACAGTCTCCAGCCTATTGTAATGCCTGTCTGTGAGTCGGTTCTGCTTCTGGAAGTACCCCCTCACTGGCATTCTTGGAAGTAACCCACAATAAAACTCAAAGTCAGAGTCAAAGTGGCACAGCCACTGGCTCTGGCCATAGTCACCCCATTATTACAAAAACTCTACCCACAGTTTGCTCTTTCTAGCCTTGGAGATCATAACACTTAGAGTTTATACCTTTTCCAAACAATTCTCTTTTCTTGGTCCTATTTTTTTCCCCAATGAAAGTTATACAACATGAAATTAGCTTATGGTTGCACTGTAAGACTTAGTGCCCATTGGTCCATCAAAAGTGTTGGCCATAATCATATTTCTAAAATCCTAAGTATTCCCAGAAGATACTGCTTCCTGTAACTGTCTCCCCAACTCTGGCCCCCTCCATTTTACCAGGGTAACTCGCAGCTTGGCTCAGAGCTAATGGCACAATTTCCTATTTATCATGTGGACTTCCCAACTCCAGTGCGTCTTCTTTCTTGTATCAGCCCCCTCTGACTCAGTGAAGTCAACCCCATCCACAGATACATGCAGACATCAGCATATCGTGGGCTCCATCTTTGCATCCTTCAGGAAGAGATGGAGAAGCATTACTGACTTAATGTGGAATTGGTTCAAGACTGCTGATGACATTTGCTCCCCTCCTGGAGATGGCTACATCACACCTGCATAAGGCACTCGTTAGGATGGATATTTAAGTACTGGCATTAGCCTTATGGGTGTAAAAAGCTCTATGTCCCCTCTTCTATTCATCAGGTAACACTGAAAGTGGTTTTTCCCCTGTGGGGAACACAAGACATAAAGCATAGAAATAATTCGCCATGGTAGACAGAGTATCAACAAGACAACTGGTCACCCTTTTCTCTTAGCTGAAAGCACAGTTGCTGAGCTTGTAATGATAATGGCACAGGTGGGGGGCAGAGAGTGGGAGGATGTCAGTAGGGATTAGTGTGGCATGTTTGGATGCTGCTGGCAAACCTTACTGCCCCTGAGCTGCTGCCATGTAGAGGAAGCACAGGGGCTGGGCAAGGAGGTCCAGGACAGTTCTGAGGCTGTGTCCAGGAGCAGAGTTCCTGAGCAGGCGAGATAGCAGTAAAGAGGTGGAGGGTCACGTAGCTTTCCCAGGAGCCGAGGACATGCTGATTACTCACTTTCGCAGTTGTTCCACCTGGACTTGCTTGGCATCTCTGTTTCTCTCATTTGACTTCCTTCCCAGGTAGATACAAAATGAGTAAAACCATCTGTTTTTGTGCCTATGTCAGTGTTTTGTGTCTGACTTCACCTGGGGATGTGAATGAACACTATTCACACCATCCAGAACTATGATAGACCCAAGGAAACAAGCAACCAACCAACCAAACACAAAACCACCCAAGCCAAGTTTGATGAAACAGTTTATTGGTGCCACAGGAATACAGGGGAGGGCTTACTTATAGGAGAATGGGTCACCCAGGCAGCATCACCATTGCAATGGTAATGACTCACCAAATCTACAATCTGGGGTTCCTAAGAGGCTTCTCTCTGCTGATAAATGTTTACTGCCTGGGTGACTTTGGAGAGGGGCCCCTCCTGAGTCTCCTGAGCCTCTGTCAGTCCTTCACAAGAGGATGTTTCAATTCAGACCAAAGAGATACAGGATACCCCACCCACTCCAGATCTTAAATCTTTATGTATCCTCTTGCATAACTCTTCTAAGCCTTGGAACAGGTGATAAATAGACATCTATTTTCTTCCCAATATTTACAACCCAATACTGGGCTTTATCTAAGGATCAGTCACTTCTTCTCAGCAACTGGACAAGTTATGAGTCTCTGGCAGCACTCACTTGGCATAAACACAAGTGTTTGGATGGCAAGCTGACACACTATAACTGCTGAATAAAAACCAAAACAATAGTATTTTCTTTTTAAAGATTTATTTATTTTATTTATGCGTACACCGTAGCTGTCTTCAGACACACCAGAAGAGGGCATCCAATCTCATTACGGATGGTTGTGAGCCACCATGTGGCCGCTGGGACTTGAACTCAGGACCTCTGGAAGAGCAGTCAGCGCTCCCAACCGTTGAGCCATCTCTCCAGCCCCCAAAACCATAGTATTAATCTCCTTACTCTGGCCTATGGCCTCCATGCCACAGAACTTTGTCCTGCCTTAGAATAATCAATGGGAATGCCTGCCTGTGGAGGTCTTAGTCGGAAGCTATGTCTGTGCAAACATAACACTGCCACTACTGCACAGTGATGCACTTCTCCATGGGAAGTAACACTACAGCACGGAGCAAGGCTGTCTGCATGACTGTCCCTCGGCAGCCTGAATGGAGCCTCTTGGCACTGGAGATCCAGCCAGCACACCTGGCTCTTCTGCCTGAGTCTCTGCTTGCCTCTTCCATGTTCTGAAACCAAAGCTTGTGAAGTCTCTGAAAGATTTCTCCAGTTCCAGCATGCAACAAGAAGAGTGGCAACTACATTTGTGATATTGGGCCCTTGGGGCTTTTCTTCACAATTCAGGAGGCTGACTATGCCTAGCATGGCAATCTACACCCAACAACCTTATTAGTTCTCAGACTGCCTTTCTACATGCTACAATGCTGTTCCAACTCCTGAGCTGCCATTTTAACATTTTACAAAGGAAAACCAGGAGCACTGGGAGCCCACTGCTATCAACCCAAGCAAGTGCCAGTTGGTCATGGGGTGTTTCTCTAGGGGTACATATTCATGAAAATTCCTAAACTCATATTCTCTTCCTGAAAGCCCAAGAATGTTTCATGCTAGGCATCCATTTAATTGTGTTTTCTCATAAGACTGGGACCAAATACGGCAGGAGAGACCACTCCAGCCAGGAGAAGCCATTTAAATTACTCTCACTGCATCAGAGGTCCACTTCTTCCCTCAGCACAATGGTGACTTAGTAGTAAGTGCCATGTTTTGTTGCTCCAGCTCTTACGGGGCACCCACCCTGGCCTGGGACTGTGCTTGCCTCTACAGGTGCAGGCTCCATCTCTACACAGTCTTAGATATTTTCGTAATCGACAAGTTCAATGTGTCAGAAAAGCCTTGGTTCTGAGTTCACTTTAGCTTCTCTGCAAAGATCCTAAATCCTGTGTGAGCTGCTGGAACTTCTGCTCAGCGAGGTTGCTTGCCTTGAGGTCTTGAGATCACCTACCTGAAACTGACAGCTAACAGACTGCTAAGTGAAATGTGTGCAGGATCAACTCAGTTGGGTTTTGTGCTACCTTATCACGGCACTAGAAAGACGAAATGGAGACATGTAAAAAGGCAGAATGGAGCAGGGAGCAAACACCCACAGGTCTCCACGAGCAGGGCTGCATGGGAAAGGAGTAGAAAGGGAGCCATTGGGATTGGTGGCAGTAAACTGCCAGGGTTAGTTTGTTCCTACAGCACAGTGAATTGGAGCCTCCCAGACAAATAAAGAATAAAAAGATCACATCTCTGGTTCCCAAGCAAAATGGAGAGAGTAAGTGAAATGAAGAATAGAAAGGCCCATTAACCTCTTGGTTATGCTGATAAAGTACTGGCCTGTCTTCTGGAAGCCCATGGCCTGGTAGAGAGCCAGAGCGCTATACTGTACACTGCCAACCTTAAGGACAACATCACTGTAGCCCTGGTCCCGAGCAAACTGGAGGACAGTTCTGACCAGTGCTTTCGCTATCCCCTGTCCTCGATGCTGTGAGGACACAGACAGGCGAAGGAGCTGCAGCTGCTTCCTCCCTAATGGAGGATCCTTGACTGGCACAGCCCCCACCATGCCCACCACCTGTCCCCCAGACTCAGCTACCCAGAAGGAGCCATGAGCATTCAGGTAAGACTTGGTGATGTCAGCCAGGTCTGCCTGCAAACACTTGGCAACATCATGTCTACAAGAAAGCCAGAAAAGGACCCGCAGACAAAGGAGAAACAGGAAGCTGTATACTGTGGCCAGGAGCCAGGAGCCAGACACCAGGACTGTGGTCACAGGCACCCCAGGTAAGAGCAGGAGAGAATGAGGCAGTGTCAGCATCTGGCGGAAGGCAGCAGGGACATGCTCCTTCATGCCACTGGAGAATAATTCCAGGACCCTTTTGTGGTCCCTCTCCTGGTACTGTCGGATGTGATGAGGGGCCATGGGAGACGTCTAGCTCTGAGATATCAGTGATCACAAGGGATATGCAGACCTTCTTGTACAGCTTCCCTGAGCCCTGCAGGAAATAGAGGAAGCCGACTCAGTCCCTCAGTTCCCTCCCTGACTCTCAGAAGCCAGGGACAGTCTACTGACAGCTGTGCCTTTGTTGATACCCTCAGGGAAACAGGACATTATTACTGAGAGAGGTGTGAGGTCATCCTCACCTAATGACCCTATTCTATCTGTTTCTAGTCATGTGTCCCTAGGACATGTTCCATGGCCTCTCTGAGCCTGTGTGTCTTGCCCTGAAGACCATGGTAAACCACACCTGGTATCTAGGTTTCTTTGAAGATTTAATACAGGAAGTTGTATGCAGAGTCCTCCCTGTAACCCTCCTCCTCCAGTGACAAGTTTTCTGACCTTTGAGAACTGAGGTGCCACACTGTGGAAAGGTGTCCTGTTCTGAGATCTTCTGTATCCTCTTCAGGGTCTAGACATTGAAAACTGTGGTCCGAGGTGCAAGTTTCAACAAATCCTCTTTCCAGCAACTGGAAAGTTTCCGTCTAGAGAAAAGCAAAGAATGAGTGCAAAAACTCTCCACCAATAGGTCTTCAAGAAGGTTGTGGGAATCCAGACCTACAGACAACCAGGTCTCAGCTCTCTGTCCTCTCACCTAGTCCCACAGACGCAAGTGTCCAGGATGTCTGAGGACATCCAGGAGAACCTATCAGGGGCCTGATGAAACTCTAGGGCACAGATCTGACCTGGCACTTCATTGACTGACTTCTGGGAAATCATAAACTAAAGGTCAAGAGTTGAAATGTGACATGGGAGGGAAGCCATATCTCTTGATCACCACAGGATTGACCTGGAGGGGAAGCTGGCTTTGACTGGCCCTGAGTTCCTCATCATTTTGGCAAGCTTCTCCAACTTTCTGTTCCTTTCATATCAAGGTTCTTACACCCAGGGTACTTTGCTACCTCTGGTTTCCAGCATAGTCATTGGCATTGCCACATACCTCCTAGGAGAGGCCTGTGCTCACACAAACCTGAGTTTTCTTCCTCTCTAAGCTATGGGGGGGTGCTAGGATAATGGATCCTGATTGTCCAAACTGACTTCCTTTCCCTCCTCCTAATCATCATGGAAGCCATTACTCAGCCACCATGCTGATGCAACAGCTTTGCTGAATGTGTCCCTTTTCAACCTGTGCAGTACTTTGGTCTAGATAATAGGCCCCAGAGTCAGCAGTGGAGTGTGTCTGGCAGAGTTCAGAATGAAGACATCATACACTTCACACAGATTATCTGAGGAAGTACTTCAACAAACCAGGCAAGAGTGACACAGAGGAGCACCTTTTCTTGCAAGGATACTCCTGTAAGATGGATGACCTTTGTCCCCAGTACTGACCTACAGATCAGTGAGGGCCTTTCTCTCTCTACTCATGTCTTCCTGTACAGGGTCATGATATGTGTAAGTAAGCACTTGTTTGCTGACATTAACTTGGGCCTATTTTAGGCAAGTCCAGTGGGCTCTCAGGAGACATACTACTTAAAGTAGGATGGAATCTTACATCACAGAAGCTCGTCGGGTGTCATTGTGTAGCAAAGTTGGGGAGCCTTTGGATATGGTCTAGTCAGAAGAAGTAGGGCCACAAAGACAGGGATGACAGGTACAGCACAAGATCATGATGTAAGCTGCTACATTTTGTAGCATTTAGTCTGGGCCTGTGGTCACCTGGGAGGCCAGTCAGCTCTAAGGAGAAAGATGGAAGGCAGCCTTGGTGGGGTCTTATATTGAAGATTATTCTCAGGAGTTTTGGAGGTTTGAGGGACAGAAAGAAGCCTTCACAACTTTACAAAAATTAATAATAAAACCAGAGGATGTGGGGGAGAGGATGAGAGATAGTGAGGATTTCCAGGCAGGACTTGGGATCAAGACTCTAAGAGACATTAGTTAGCCTCTTGCCATCAGTGAGAGAGCTTCTCAGGTCGAAGGAGGAGAGAAACAGAGATACCCCTGAGCAGCTTGAAGAGAATATGATCATAGTTTGGGGGAAAATACACCCTACATAGATTGGTGAACACCAGGATGAAGGAGAAATGCGGGAGGAGAAATGCAGGAGGAGGGTAGAGAGAACAACTTCAAGTGTATGTAGCATGGACCCTTACAAGGATCAGATGAATATCCTTTTAATTAGTGAAATGCATGTACTGTATGTTTATATGACTTGATCCGTATGTGAGAATCAAACAGAAAGACAGAAAGATGGCAGCAGACTTCTGCAAAGGCAGGTGTAGCATCTGGGGTAGACAAGGCCCAGGTGCGGCTGTACAAGCTGCTCACAGAGCAGCAGAGCAAAGAGAGCAGCCTTGCTTGAAAGAAACCACGCTCCCTGCCTGTAACCAACACTTGGGGCTGATCTCTGGAGTGAGTCTGGCTCAAACCAAAGGCACCACTTAGGGTTCACGCACTCAGAGGTGTGGTTTGCCACCACCTTGCATTCCATGGTCTGCTGGCATCTCATGGTTTGTATGGTCTGAAGGAGAGCCTTGTCTGTGTTGACAAAGGAATCATTTGGATTGGGAGAACCAAGAGACACAGGGGTAGCTGAGACCACAGTAAAGACATCAAGACCTCCAAGCCTCCACCATGTGGACTTACATTTTGGAGTCAAAATGACAGTAGATTTAACACAATTCAGGGGGTGGGGGATGAGCACCTGAGCACATGTCTATGGCAGAGCACCTAAGAATCTGCTGGGGTGAGGCCACATTTGCAAAGCTCATGGCTTATCTGTCTGTGTTGTCTTCAGCTTTCTTCCACATGACAAACCAGAAGCTGGATACCAGGTCCTCATAGACTGAATGCCAAATGATCCCCATAGGTTTATGTGTTTGAACATTTGGTGTCCAGATGGTGTCATTGTTTTGGTATGTTGTAGATTCTTTGAGGCCTAGGTAGCAGTAAAGCAGGACCACAGGGGCAGGCTAGAGGGTTATAGCCTACTCAGGTTGGGACCTGAGTTCTGTTCCCTGCTGTAACCAGATGTAAGGATGCATGTAACAGCCCCACCACCACCACCATGCCCTAGCTAAGTCAATCGCAAGGAATAAAGCCTCTTTCTGGTCTCTTGTGGTCCTGGAATCGAGTCCATGCTGCCTAATAAGTATGCAGAACCTGCAGAGGCTGGTTCTTGCTGCTCATCACCCACTCTCTTCCTTTGTGGTTTCCTTAAGAGCAGTGCCTCGATCTTATACCATTCACTGTCTCCACAATGCCAAAAACACATGAGGAATATGAGGTCTCTGTCCAACATCTCGTCCTGGAAAACTCACTGTCCTGAGGAGTGCTGGTCATGGTTGAGGGTATCATCTGGCCCCAGGCTTCCAAGCACTCCTGGAGCTCCTTCAATGGGAAACACTCACCCACCTCCCCATGTGGATGGTCCTCTAATTCCTCCTGAGGACCCACTTGATAAGAGTCCAGAATGTTCTTGAAAAGGACAGTGAATCTTCCCTTGGTGGTTCTCTCTCTCCACCCCAGGGAGAATCTGAGGGATTCTAATGAGAGCCATGATGTTGGCTAAAAACAAAGGCATGACTCAAAACACCATTTCAATTTCCACCTCTGCTGAGGTGGAAGAGGAGGGGAAGAGCACCTGATATCCTCTATATCAGCCACCCAGGCTCTGAGGTGAGGAAGACCCATGGAAAGGAAGATGAGGGGGACACCCACCAGGATCAGAAAGACTTTCTCACAGTGCAGCAGCTCTCTACCTGGGCAGGAACTGGGTCTACTGGAAGTGGTGGACTTGCTTCCATGGGGAAGATCCTGGGCTGACCTAGACTGAGTGTGAGCTCTGCTCTCAGGAACTGTCCCAGTGAGTGCTTCTCCTGCCATGCAGACATTTTTCCTGTGAGATGGTGTACAGATGCCTGGGTGGAGAGCAGGTTAGAGAGGTGCGGGCCTCAGGGCAGCTCTGTCAGTCTCCTGGCCCTGCATCGTCCCCTAGAGGCAGTACCCGGGGCTGATGCAAGAAGACAGTGGAGGAGATCTTGTGCCTGCAGGAGTGTGAGTGTGTGTGTGTGTGTGTGTGTGTGTGTGTGTGTGTGTGTATCTACTAGTCTGTAGAGATTCATGCTCAATAAGTACTCAGTCTTTGCCTTCAACCACGTTGTTTTTAATTTTAAAAAAGCCACACATTTCATGACTTTTCACATGTTTACTTCTGTATTACAACATCCCTCGAAATCATGAAACTATAGTCCATTAAGCATCAAAGAAAAATAAAACAAGTAGATCAGTGTTACCCGTCCACCGAGACTCAAGCACAGAGCATGTATTCATGTGTGAGAACGCTTCAGGCTCTGAGTAATTCTTTTGATTGCTGACCCATATCACAACTGGTGGCTACCATCAGATTTCCCACTACAAACTGGAAACTGATGAGAAAACTCCACTGAAAGTATGTTCAGGCCGGGCAGTGGTGTCGCACGCCTTTAATCCCAGCACTTGGGAGGCAGAGGCAGGTGGATTTCTGAGTTCGAGGCCAGCCTGGTCTACAGAGTGAGTTCCAGGACAGCCAGGGCTATACAGAGAAACCTTGTCTCGAAAAAAAAAGAAAAGAAAAAAGAAAAGAAAGAAAGAAAGTATGTTCAGCCATTTGAAAGGAAAACTTGTATCTGAAAAAAAAGGAAGCACATGACTGAGGAAGAAGGCAGGTAGCGAGATGTTGCAGACATAGAAAACACTAGTTCCTTGTTTTGTTCTGATAGCAGGGGTTTTGAAAAATGTCTTAGATAATGTCACTTAATTCTGATATCATTGAAGAAGGAAGGAACAAAAGTTACCCAACATTTCAAATGGAAGCTCACCAGGCTTGTCTAAAATTTCTTCCTGAAATAACAAGTACTTAAGAAATCAAAACAGAAGCTGACGTAAGGAGTAATGCTCTTGCTGGAGAAGCATGAGCACGGTGATGACGAGAACCTCCACACCCACTGAAGAGCTGAAAGGGTTTGTGGCCCCATGGGGAGAGCAACAATACCAACCAACAAGAGCTCCCAGGGTCTAAACCACCAGCCTGGGAGCACATAGGGAGGTACCCATGGCTCCAGCCGTATATGTAGGGGAGGATGGCCTTGTTGGGTATAGGTGGGAAAGGAAGTCCTTGGCCCCGTGAAGGCTGGATGCCCCAATGTGGGGGAATTTGAGGGTGGGGAGGTGAGAGTGAGTGGGTGGGTGGGGGCCACATTCTCATAGAAGTAGGAAGAGGGGGAATGGGATTGGGGGTTCCTGGGTGGGGAGCAAATGGGGAAAGGGGTTAACATCTGAAAAAAATTAACATAAATTTTTAAAAATTGGGGGAGGGGTGGCAAGGGAGCCATAATCTACATGTTCAAATTAGAGGAAAACTTTTAAGAACTGGTTCTTTTCTTCCACTGTGGGATTCTGGCATTGAACTTAGCTTCCCTACAATGGAAAGAGTGGGAAAAAAAGGAGGCAGGTACTCCTCCGTCGATTTTTGTATGAGTCTGTTACTGTCTGCACTACTAATGCCAGTGTACAAGCTAGCCAGCTCCATAGCACCTCTAGTGCCCGCACAGGGGGAAGCTGCCCCACAACACTCCAAATGCCAGTGCAGGGATGAGCTGCCCTAAAGCAATCTTGCAAGCAATGCCAGTTACTAAACACATCCTCCACTTTGGACTG